CTGCGCGTGCGGAGCCTGTGCTCCGCAGCGGGAGAGGCCACAACAGTGAGAGGCCCGCATACCAAAAAAAAAAAAAAAAAAAAAAAAGAAAGTATCAGTCATTTTCAAAGTAGTTGTCATTTTACATACCCACCGATACTGGATAGTGTAGGATAGTTTCAGATACTCCGTATCTGTGATGAGTCTTTGTCATTATAGCCATTCTAGGAGTGTGGTGGTACTTCATGGTGAGTTTATTTTGTGTGGGATCCTAGTTCCCCGACCAGGGATCGAACCCACACCCCCTGCAGTGGAAGCTCGGAGTCTTAACCACTGGACCACCAGGGAAGTCCCTTTCATGGTGATTTTAATTTCCATTTCTGGAATGACAAATGATGTTCAGTATCTTTTCATGGGATTTTTTGCCTTCTTCATATATCTGCTCAAATCTTTTGCCTGATTTATAATTGGGTTGTTTTCTTATTATTGAGTTTTGAGGATTCTGCATATGTTCTGGATATAGGCCTTTTATCAGGTTTATGTTCTGCAAATATTTTCTCCTAGTCTTTGTCTTGTTTTTGCATCCTCTTGGCCATGTTTTTGAATGCACAGAAACTATTAATATGGATGAAGGGTTGACCAAGTCAGTCACCGTGGAAGGAAACCAAACAGGCAACAGTTGGATGACAAAAGTCCGTTGACATATTGTGTAGGAAAGCTGACATTGCACAGGAAAGAGTTCTGTTTCATCAGTAAAACAGAAATGTGTGTCATGCTGCTAACTGACACAAACCCAGGAAATGTTTTCCATTTCCTAGACGACTATTTGGCCCTGTAAGGAAAGGGGTGAGGAGGCCAAAGCCATTACAGTTGAACTATGACATAGTGCATGTCCCCCACCCTTTAAACTTGAATCAGAACACAAAAGGAAAATCAAAGGGTTGTGTTCCAAGTTGCTTAAATAAATATTCATGCCTAGGGGTTCTCATAAAACATACATGAAAGCAACCAAGTGTAGTATTTCATGTGGAATCAAAAGGATTTGACACCTACAGTTGAAATGGTACAGTATCAAAGCAGAGGGGAAAATGTGATGTTGATCTTGACATACAGCAAGGTCAGTCCCACATACAGTGTGAAACAACTCACATAAACTAGGGTTTCTAAAAGGCCTCCTCCAGACTAAAGGAAGGAGGAGACCAGAGGGTGAAGCTCCCTCTTCCATGGCAGAGTGGGCAGTGGTTGCAAGTTTCTCATCTTTACAGCCCTTACGTGTGGCCAGGAGAGGAGTAGTACTTAGAATTCTTGATCTCTGGCTCGTCCAAAGCTGTCCTAAGAAGCAAGGACAGCCTAGAGCCGCCTCTGCCTTAGCTGCAACTGCATAATATCCCAACTTATGGATGCAGCATAATTTAATAATTCCCCTATTTTGGGCAGTTGGGTTTAAAAAAATTATATGCAAACATTATGCCAGAGAAATTAATATCTAAGTGTGTAATTGTAGGCACTGGTATAAGCCAGCTCAGGAAGCTTCGATAGGGAAGCTTAAACCTTCCAAATTATGCTTTGCATGTAGTGGCCTATTCCAAAGGCCTCCCTGGGCAGAGGGCTGTGGAGTCAGAGAATGCTGGGAATATCTCCCATAGGAATGGATAACTATTCTTGATTCACAGGCTCCTAATAACTTTTTTGGGCTCAGAGGACAGACGATCCATCACGTATGACAGGATGCCAGTAAACCATGAGTAAAATGCCTCTAAGTGCTGTAAGGGAGGAAGGCAGACTGATTGGGTTAAGCATTT